GCCGCCGCCGCCCCAGCGCGCGCTGAGCCGCGCGAGGAGCCTCCGTGAGCCCCGCGGCGCGCAGGGCAGCGGCGCCAGTTGCCACGCGGGGAAGTTTGATGGCTTCTTTGAGGCGAGTCAAAGTGCTGCTGGTGCTGAACCTGATCGCGGTGGCTGGCTTTGTGCTCTTTCTGGCCAAGTGCAGACCCATCGCGGTCAAGAGCGGCGACTCCTTCCGGGAGGTTCACCCCAGGGCTGAAGTGGCCAACTTGACCGCCCGTGGCATCAACTCCATCCAGGATGCGGTGCTGAAGAGACTCTCCCTCCTGGAAGATATAGTCTACAGGCAGCTAAATGGTAGGAGTAGCTCTCGTGCTCTTTGTACGTTTTGCGGGTACCGTCGCGGGTGGGAGCGTGCGTTCAAGCAGAGAGACGGCGCGGTTGTTTCTCGAAGTTTGCACGGCAGAGCCGTGCCTCCTGCCTTTCGCTGCGTTATCGTGAAAACTGAGCGGCGACGGCACGGATCGCCGAGCTCTCCCCGTGTTTCGGGAAAGCTCGGGAGCACCTCGCGCAGGGTGAGGAGCGCGTGAGAACGCAGCGCGAGCTTGCAGGCTGCGGGCGGGAAAGCACAGCGCCGTGATTGCCTCAGCGGATGAGAAGGGAGGTCGGTGGGCAGCCGCGGGGCTGGAGCAGCGCCCCGTGTATTGATTGAGGGGATGGCTCTTGCTGCTCCGCGGTTGCTCTTTTGGAGGGGAGTTTTAAAAAGGCTTCCAAGCATGTTGCGTTATTTAAGCGCAGAAGGTCGGAAAGCAGTGCACCTTCTGTAATAAGTTTAGCAAACAATTCAGTGTTTCCCGTGGCTCAGCCTTGACAGCTGCGAATTAAATCCTCAAGTAATGCTTCTCTTTATAGCGTAGCGAAGGGTTTTCTATTAAAAATCTCGCCAGGTTCACTAGTTCTGAGATGTAGAAAGGGAGTTTTAAAGATGCCATGTGGGATAGAGAAACATGTTGTAAAGATGTAAGAAATCTAGGTGAGATACCTAATTAAAACGCTGACTGTGGAAGCTGATTTTTTTTTTTTAAAAATTGATCCCCATAGATTCACAACTGGGATTGGGATCTCAATCAAGAGCCCCATTTATAGCTTCCCATCTCCGTAGCCTTAAAGACTGCAAGTTTTAGCATTGCAAGACTAGCACAGTGAATGCTTTTGGCAGTGTTGGTGTGATTCCACCTTTGATTCTTGAATACGAACCTCAGCCGTGATTTGGTACCGTGTTAAACTGCAAGCCCACGACTGCAACTGCGTTGCGCCTGTGTACTGAGTCAGGACTATCGCCGACGACAGCTCGGTACCGAAGACGTGAGGCAGGCACTGAAATGTATATAGCCTGATGCGCGCTCTTCGGTTGTAGCAGTTGTCTTGGTCAGTCCCTGTGCTTTGGGAAGGACGCTGTGTAAACCGAGGAGCGCTCAGCCAAGTGGGAAAAGGGTATTTGTATTGCTACTTTATCCGCTTGCGTGAATAACCAGCCCTGCCTAGTGAAGTGTCTAGCACCTAATTTAAATTTGCTGTTACCGAACCAAAGGTGTTGAAGCGGCATCTTAGGGCAACAAACGAGGTGAAGTAAAGGAATAGCAAATAGCAACAACGTGAAAAGAAAGCCCGGCTGTTGTGCACGGTGCACAGTCTGCGGGCTGCCGCGGGCGCTGGGAGTACGTTTGCAGAGCTGCCTGGGGGTCCGCTTAGAGCTGAGGAACACTGTCACGCACCTAAAGCTGGGGGGGGAGGTAACACTACGTTGTCCATAGTACAGGGATAGGAAGGAACAACATCCAAACAAAACAAAGCAGAACCCCAAAACCTAGGTGTTATGCACAATGAACCTGTGAAACTCGCTGCTGCTGGATATCACTCGGGCACAGGTTTTCAGGAAGAATTAGGCCCTTATTTAAAAAGGGCGACAGCAGAAACTCATGACGGGAGCCCTCATACGAGGACCCGGCTGGGTTTTGAACCTGTAGCGGTGACGCTGTCTAGCGTTGTTCCAGCAAATACAGAGCGGGAGCGGGAATTGCAACTTATCGCCCTCCTTCTTAGACGGGAGAGCTGTGGCGATGAAGGGGGACTCGCTGCTGCCGTCGGCTCTGCGAGCTGCTTTCGGGGCTGGCTGGCGCTTCCCGCGGGAGCAGCGAAGTAAGGACAGCTCGCCCCCCAAGCTGCACGTGCTACGTAGTCTGTAGGCTGCTGTGGGCACTGCGAGTACATTATTTGCAGGGCGGTGTGGGAGTCCGCTTCACACCTAAAGACGGGACAAGGAGGCGCGAGAGAGGTAGTAGATACGTTGCCCGTGCCACAAATGCTTTCTTAGGGCAGGCAGAAAGCCGAGAACATAAACGCGACGACTTATCTGGCCTCTGCACACTGGGGCAATTTATAGCAGTGCTGATGAGCCTGGCTTTAAAGAAAAAAAACAAAAAAGCTCTATTATAGTGGTTATATAACTTTGGGTCGAGTATATATTTGGTACGTGGGATTTTTTTTAGAAAAGTGCATCTGTGCTCTGTTCTCTGAGTAATGTGTGTGCGCGCTGTGCTTCAGCAAGGCATGGGTTTAAGGGAAGATGTGGCGGCCAGATGAACCCCCACCACCCCCCACTGACACTAAAAGGGAAAAATGAAGCGTACTAAGATGGTCTGTGGTCCCAGGGGGACTTTCTGTGCCTGCGTTGGTGTTCAGTCCTAATTCTGAAGGAGAATACCCAAAGCTGAAATGCTAGTGCCTGCTTGAGGTATGAAAATACCGTTCACATTGTTTTTTTTTTTTAATTTTTTCTATTTTTATGATAGGCAAGCTCCCTGCAAAACACATCCGCTGAGAAAATTCTCTTTATGTTGATTAAAGGTAGTTTTTTTTTTTTTTTTTAAATCTGACTTTTGTACCTGCAAAACGTTAGACTGTAGTATCCTGCAGCACATATGAGGAAGTCCTGCAGCTGGGGCCTGTGGGAGCATCGAGAAGCGTTTGACCGAAGAGAGAAACCAAAACGTGGGTTGGGTGCAGTCAGCCACGGGTGGGTTTTTTAATTGCCTTCTAGGACTTGGCTAGATTTCAGTGGGGTTTGAAGCCGTTGTTAGAAAAAAGTGTTTCTTTTGAAAAAGCGCTGTTCTGTAAACGTCAAATGAGCAACCTGATCACACCGTTGCTGTTTTTCATTTTGTTTTATTTTTTTGTTTTCGAAGCATGTAGTGTAAAGCATGTCGGAAATACCAGCTTTCTCTGGTACGGCAACCCTTATGTTGTTTATGTGCATTTATTTCTGTAAACTTTGGCCACAAAACCAAGACAAACAGCATTATCCGCCTAAGGACGATAAAGGAATGATTCCACAGAATTATTCCTTTTGGAACGACGTTTTCCCGCGGTGCCGTTCTGGAAGTAATTCCAGGCCCCCTTCTTGCTCCGCAGCGTAGATGCTCTTTGTGCAAGAAGAGCCGTCCCGAACGTGAACTTGACCTGCTGTCCGAAATGTTTCCTCACCTAGGGCGCCTCATCCTGCCTGCAGTCAGGTTTTTGGCCCGTGTGCGCTGCAGTTTGACGTCGCTCCGAACTGAGCGAAGTCGGAAGTTGCTGGGCCTCGTTTCCAGGTGATGCATTTTGCTGGTCTCGAAGGGTTTCCGGCCGGTGTTCGCTGGGGGTGGAACTGCGGAAAGCTGTGTCGTGCCGAGTCGGAAGGGCGCTCCGTGGAGGCTGGCCCGGCTCAGGGAGCGGGGAGCGATCGCAGCAAAACGGTGTCCTTTCTTAGTTCCCCCCTTTTTTGTTATTCATAAATCACCTGTGAGCTGACCTAGGTCTTTCCAAACGGGCCTGTTCAGACTTCTTTCAGCTGAAAAGCGATTGTGAACGCCACGTGGGCTTTGCTTTTTCTAAAATTTTAGTTTTGCACCTTAGTTCATCATGCGATTTTTCACTTTCTGTTTTTCTGTTGCTTTTTTTCCTGCTCTCAAATTGGATGACCTCCATCCTTGCAAAGAAATGTGGGGGCACTCTTTAAATGGTCCGTGAAAGTGGAGGTTTTTGTATGCAGGTACTTTCCTGAGAATTTAGAAGATTTTTAATTTTTGCAGTGATTCTTATGGATGGAAGTCTCTTGTTCCGAAAACGTTCAGAGAAAACTAATGAGGGGCTGAGAAGAACGTATGCATTTTATTTCAGGTAGTAACTACAGTTTGTCTTTTTCGTCGAGATCTAATTTAATTTTTCTTGCACTGATATTTACATAGGCAGGAACCGTGGTCCAGATTTTGTCGAAACGTGTGCAAGTTCATACAGATGAACTTTTCAGTTTGGGGCCGTGTTTGCAAAGAGAGCGTCTCTTTGTTTGTGTAGAAAAGGCAAATGAGTCAGTCAGTGAGAGGCCTGAGTGAATAAAGACGCGGAAGAGAGCATTCAGCTTCTGCTGCAACCATATGTTTCCTACATGGGGCTGGGCAAATTCTTGGATTTACCTAAACCTGTCTCTCCAGGACTGTTGTGAGAACTGCATTAATGACCGTGAAGTATTTGAGAAATTTGTGTGCGTGTTTGTAGGATCCCGAGACAGCAAAGGTGGGCCGAATAGTTTCACATCAAAGACTGGTATGTCCCCAGGTTAGCGGCGTACAGAATGAGTGACACGATTTGAGGAAAGCTGCAGCTTGCGTTAAGAAGTGACGTACAGAGATTTTGCTCACTGTAGACTCCTCTTGATGGGATGAGTCTGGTGTCCATCGCGTGGTGAGAAGCTGCTCTTCGCCCCTTCTACAAGCAACAGCCTTGGGGGAGTTGCTGGGGTGCTTTTGTTTTGTCTTATTTCTTCTTCCGTCACCTTCTGTGTTACTCCCTGTTCCACCTCCTTGCCTCTTCCTGAAGCCGGGCCTGCTGGACGTTGGGTGGGATGAAGGGACGTGTGGCATTCGCCCTCCTCCCTAGAAGCAGAGAGGAGCAGCTCAGCGTGTGCTCTCGGCAGTGCCTGCCCAGCGTGGGAGAAGCGCTGAGAAGCTGGCCAGGGTCCGGTCCTCCAGCGAGGTCCAGGCTGCTCTCCTGCCAGTTGCCAAGGCTTTGAGAGGCTGCTGAGACGTGCAGGGCCCCGTAGCCTGTCTCCCTTGCACAACTCAAGCAACGTTGAGCGTTCATCCGAGACAGGAGGAAAGAGCCTGGCTCTGATTTTTGTGTGTTGTAGTTTGTTCCTGTTCTTTGTCCGATCCTACCCTTAAATGGGGACCCCTATGTTCTAAACCCTGCTGGTCAGAAGCTATTTAAGTCAATATAGAAACAGTTTAGTAATTAAATAGTGGTGCCAGCTTGAGAATAAG